GGCGCCGTCTCGATCGCGGCGGACGCGAATGTCGAGGATACGCGAGAGGAAGCGGAGAGACGCTCGACGAAGGTAATGGAGGAAGCAGAGTGGGAACGATAACTACGGAATCTCCAATTATTCAATCGTCTCCCCGAGCGAGGTTCGTTCAATCGTCCGGCTCGTATACGGTTCCGCGGCTCGCATCAGAACCGTATTGTTTCCGAGCAAGTCCGCGTCGCGCTCCGGCTACGACAGTTTTACCTGGGATTCGAAGCGGACGTTCGCGTTTTTTGGTACCTTGAAGCAGAGAGAGAGAGATAGTTGGACGGAAGATATGGCCGACGAAGATACGCAACGGACGTTCGATCTCGTAGATTCCGCGGTGTTCGCGGGAATGCTGGGAGTATCCGCTGGCGTCGGGGTCTACCACGCGTACAAGTCGAGAAAGAGTACCGACGCGGTCCGGGAGTATTTGGTGGGTGGACGGAACATGTCCATCTTCCCTATAAGCATGTCCCTGATAGCCAGGTAGGAGACGCGTTAAACGAACGCGCAGTCGTTACCGAGATATAGCGAGGAGGATCGGTTCAGCTGTTAGAGCGGACACGTTCCAGCGAGGGAACGGGCGAGTTGATGGAATTGTGAGCTACTTAGGACCCGGAACTGAGGTCAGCACCTTTGATGAGGCCCAAGGTTCGGAGGCATCAATTGCTGCCGATTCTGGAGTCTAGGGTCTGGCTTGCAAGTTTAATTAGCGACCTTGCTATATCTTAATGACGACTACGCACGCGAGTGCCTGGCGAACTTCGCTTCTCTCCACCTTCGGTCTGGTCGGGCTTCACTCGGTTTTGACACTGGGTTTATGTGCAGTTATTGTAGTTTATTCTATTGCTCGTTGGAGGATTGATGTTAGGTCGTGGATGTTGGAGGTTCGAAGGCGGACAGTTAGGGTACAAAATTGACGGTTCGGCGGGCCTGGGCGTTTAAACGTTGCGGACGATTTTCAGTTACATATCGGGAATATCGATCCTCGGCCTGCCGGCCGAGATGTACGTCTACGGGACGCAATTCTGGTGCGTGGTGTTCGCCGACTCGTTCGTCTCGCTGACGATGGCCTACGTGTATCTGCCAGTGTTCTATGACCTGGGGATCACTTCTTCTTACGAGGTATCGATGCATGCACCCGGCGACGCGCGTCGCGACGCGTACAGGCTTCTAGACGTTGACGATCGGTGTTCCAGTACCTGAAGCTGAGGTTCAACGAGGCCGTCCGCCTGATGGGCTCCGTGATATTTTTGATAAAAATGGTGAGTGAGTAGCGGCGAGAGCGGTAGCGATCCAGCGGCTCGGCGCGCGAATCCGAATTCAAGGACAGTTTGTTCCCGTAGCTGCTCTACATCCCGCTGGTGATATACGTTCCCGCGCTAGCGTTCAATCAGGTGACAGGTATTAATCTCCACGCGATCGCCCTTCTGGTCTGCGCGGTTTGCATATTTTACACGACTCTGGTAAGGACGAAGGCGGAGACACACGCGCCGGATACTCGTATCATTAACAACTGTCACACGCATGGATCCGTTCGTCGTAGGGCGGCCTCAAAGCTGTCGTCTGGACGGACGCTATACAGACGATCGTTATATTCGGAGGTGTGGTCATCGTCGCGATTTACGGGACGAGCCGGGTAGGCGGAGTCGATCGCGTCTGGGAAAGGAACCGCGACACGGACAGAATCGATTTTTTCAAGTAAGAAAGCCTCCGCGAGCTATCGTTCCGCGCGCTCTTCTGATTTCGTCTTCCCGGTCCCTCCAGCATGGACCTGGACCCAACGATGCGACACACCTTTTGGTCGGTAGTCGTCGGCAACTACTTGAACTGGTTGGCCACCTGTTCCGTGAACCAGGCGATGGTGCAGCGATGCTTGGCGATGCCGAACCTGAAGATGGCGAACGCGTAAGCAGACGTCTCGTTGATAGAACGATCTGCGATCCGAGGCTAGGCGTCCGGATAGTATATTTCATTCTACCCCTTTCCTCAGGACGATCGCGATAATGGCAGTCGGTATCATAACCATCGTCTCGTTGAGCTGCTACACGGGCCTGGTCGTGTTCGCGACGTTCTACGACTGCGACCCTGTTATAACCAAGGTAACTAATCACTCGCACTTTCTTCAGCCATTTCTCAACTCTCCATGCGATCTCCGACTCGATTCGTTTCGTCGTAGCAAATAGGCAAGTCGGACCAACTGCTGCCATTCTTCGTAATGGACCTGGCCGCTTCTATCCCAGGTTTGCCCGGCCTGTTCGTCGCTTGTGTCTTCAGCGCTGCGTTGAGGTGAGTTTCACATGTCTTCGTTCGATCTCGTCTACCGATCCTTTATCCCCCTACCAGCACCATGTCCACCGGTCTGAACTCCATGTCCGGCGTGATATACGAGGACATGATAAAACCTTGCCTGCGAAATTCCCTCTCGGACGTGGCGGCCAGTCGAACGATGAAAGCCACGGTGGTGGCGATCGGCACCGTTTGCATGGCGCTGGTTTTCCTCGTGGAGAAGCTAGGTGGACTGATACAGGTAAAGTTACTTTAATCGTTCTACGTGTATTCGATTGTTTATACAAGTTCCTCACCGACTCACGAATTTTCGACATTTCAATCTCCTCGCGTAGGCCGGCAAGAGCCTGTCGGGTATTACAGCGGGACCGTTGCTCGGAATGTTTACCCTAGGCATGTTCTTCCCCTGCGCCAATTCCGCGGTAAGTGTTTTCCCGTTTCGTTCCGTAATCCATTACATTACTGTCGTCTATCTTGCTTTCACGCTCTCTCCCCGTCTCCCCCTCTCTGTCTCCCTGTTTCCGATTGTTTCGAGATCGCGTTCATCCGCAACAGGGAGCGTTGGTCGGCGGCATGGTAGGCTTGAACCTGGTCGCTTGGATCTCGTTCGGCACTCAGGCGGCGGTGTCCAACGGGGAAATCGTGTTCCCCATAAAACCGATCTCCATCGAGGGCTGCCCGGAACTGCTGAAGAACCGCGTCGGCAATCTGACGCTGATCGTTGAGACGGCAATCAGGTGTGTGAACGGTACGCGGCGACGGTCGTCGTCATCGTCGTCGTCGTCGTAGTCGTCGTGATTGTCTAGATTCACCGAGATTATCGCGTTTTCAGGGAACAGCCGTTCTTTCTCTACAGAATGTCGTATCTCTGGTACACGTGGGTCGGTTTTATAACCGCGATACTGGTCGGACTGCTCGTCTCTTGGCTCACCGGGTTGAACAAACGTAAGCCTGGCGACGAGAAACTGTACACACCGGTGATACGCGGTTTCCTACGATCCAAAACGGTCGCCGTAGATCAGCAGGTGCGGATGGATTATTGTTTCCCGGGGTCTCGCGCAGTTCACGCAGTTCACCTAAGTTTCCACTGTTTCATAGGACAACGCGGAACTAGAGAAGATCGGGATGGACGCGGCGAACAATCTGTAAAGAAACAACCGGCATGCGCAATTGATCGCAACAACGTAGGGAAGTGTCGATTGGATCTTGATCGATGAATCGCTCACCACTCCAAGGGTACGAAGGAGAGGGGAATGAACACACAGCCATGGCAACCATCGAGACGATACAAATCTACGCAGAAATACATACATATATATGTATATACACATAAATTCGTACATGTTTACATAGATACATTTTCATATTACAGTTATTACAAGATAAACGATTGCGAAACACGTCGTTCATCAACGCGTAGAAACTGTTTCGATACGAACGAACTAATAAAGAGAGAACTAGAAACGAATGAAGAAAAACGAATACACTTTCACTGAAGGTGCGTTCATACTGTCCTCATCGAACAAGGATCTCATCCCCCTTCCTCGAAGTATTTACGTAGTTTCGCGTCACTGTCGTGTCCCATCACGACAGATCAATGATTCCGTGGTTCTCGGGGGCAGCGTTGCGCCGACGTGCTCGTTTCCACGACGATTCGAACGGGCGCGAACGCACAGCGAGCGAGAGCTTGCACCTTTGCTCGCTGTCGGCTGAAACAGTCCAACACCTGTGGCAGTTTGCGACCGGTCGCGACTGGAAGACAAAGGCGGAGACGGTACGAGGCCAACGAACCAGGAAATTCATTGAAAGCGAAACGGATTACCGTTTGAGATCTAAAAACGGGATATGTTAACACGTGAGCGGTGACATGCCAATCGTTCTAGGATCCTGCTGACCGGGTTGCGCTGGAGGCACGAGCTGAGGGCCGTTCTCCAGGTTCCTCAAGAGCTGATTCAACCAGTGCTTAGTAGACGCATCCTCTTGCAGGCACGTCGCGAAGGTGTTGTTGTCCCTTAGCTGGTCCGGCAAACATTGTCTGAGCGCCAATAACGCCCTGCAACGGAACGCCAAACGTAATCCTGTGTTCCAACGATGATAAGGGGATAGAAGATTTTCTTTGCTCACCTCGCGTTGTCTGATAGTCTTAGATAACATCTGACCACGTGTTTCAGTAGCCTCGCGGACGGATCCTTGGCCAAGGACAGCACCATTTTCCCCAGAATCATTGCGACATGACTAAATCGGTCGTAGGTTTGACAGATGTACGACAGACCGCTGTCGTCCAGAAGAATCTTTTGCAGAATGAACGTGGCTACTGTTTTGCTCAGCTCTGAACCGCTTTCCATGATTCGCAGACAGAGAGGAATAATTTCAGTGGTGAGCAGAAACGTGATTACTTCTTGTTCATCTGTCTTGACCAATGCTCCTATCACACCTAGGCTGGTCAGCCTGAGATATTCGAATGGTCGTGTCTTGCTTATGGTGTGCAGAAACGGGTACAAGAAAAGAGGTATATGAGCCTGAAATGGAATGAACATGTGGTTAATACAAGAAAAGAAAGAGTAGTCATAAAAATGAATTTTAACAGATGTTACCTGGAGGAAGGCTGATCTCGTTTCAGGATGACTGGCAACACATTGCAACAAGGCCAATGCATTGCATACGCGGTTACTTTGGTACGCTGTCAGCGTGGCTGGATTAATGGCTGGATAGATGCTAATGATTTCTTGGAGCAAGGAGGCTGATGTGCCAAACGAGTGCCACAACATGGGAGCCAGGTCTGGTACCACCTCGCGCTTCTTGCTCAATTCCATTAAGGCATTCTCTCGAGTCTCAGGATTCGATAATTCCGTGATCCATGTATATACCTTCTCACGGTCCACCGTTGGCTGGAGTGCAGCGGGACTCTGCTGTGAACTCATTCTCTTTTTCTCTCTGAACTGTTTTCCCTACTTTCTTCTCTAATCTGTGAAAACGCTATTCCTGAGTGCTGAAATCGTTCCAAAGCCGTGTACGTTTATACAGGATTAGCCTGCTGGTGCAGCTGCAGCCGCAGCCGCAGCTGTAGCCGCTCCCTCCTTTCCCTTCCGTTAGAAATTGAAACGTCGAGGACGAATATGTTTCGCAAAATCTTCCCACGCTATCGAATCGTTTCGCGAAACAAGTTTCGAAACTGAATTTGAGGTTATGCACTATGAATTATCTTGGTACACCGCAACCGACTAAATAGTTACGTGCAACGCGGCTTTCTCTCGCCTAACGAACCGCGTGGTCGAAGTGACTTCAAGAAACCGTTCGGTTCTACAAAAATGAACGATCACGCACTCTAAATAACCAAGCACTTTTTCAAAAGTCTTTTGGAGTTTGCAGATGTTACAGCTCAACACCTCCACCGAACGTTCAACTTCGAATGGCGTTGTTTTTTAAACTTTACCAGCAGAGGGCCATAGACGATTCTAGTTTGGAAATTTCTCACAATATGTCCGTGTCAGAAGTTTGGACGTTTTGGCGTAGATGGCACGACAGATATCTAAGTACATTCGGTTTTACGTGTGCAAAAATTGAGAAAACATTGAAATTCAATTTCTTTCATTATTTCGCGGATTTCAACGAACAATCTGATATTATTAGATAAAACGTATAGTCTAGTATTACGAAGCATCAATAAAAACATTTAGATCGAGAAAGTAAAATATTCATACAGTATAATCTGCGACAGTTAACCGATAGTATTTTTAGTTAAACAACTAAGTTCGAAATTATTTTTATCGGCTAGTGAGGAAATGAAATTCTCATCGAACAATCTGGTACACATAATTTTTAAGCGGGTATTATATTAGAAACAGTATTAATAGACGATAAAAAAAAGCCAACGGGGTATATTTTTTTCTTTGCTCATGTGTTCCCGATCCTCCGTAGGATGCCACGCATACCCGCGAGCATTACGAAACCATAAAATAAGTTTTCCCATTTGAATTATTCATCAAGGACCATTCGTTCCCTTCGAAAATCTTTGAAGTTTTATCTCGATCATTTAACTACTGGTCGCTCACCTGCGAGGAAATTGAAGCTAACAAATGCACCGCGTTCATTATCTCCGATTAAGGCATAGTTAATGTTACTTTTAACTCGCCGCTACCATTGGACGAAGGTAACGCTCGAACGGAACTGTCCAATTGGTAGACGAGCCGCGGAGAACTATATACGGAAATAAGAAAAACCTCCGTTATGTGCTGTAACAGGGCAATGAATTTTAACTTCTGCACGGAACATCGTTGTTCCGAATGACAGAACGGGAACATTGTTGATATAGATGATGCGCATCGAACGTCCCGTACGTTGCAGTTTGGTAAACAGAAGTTTTGCGTATCATCAATGGTAGGTGGTAGTTGTTTCTCATGGTACGCCCACTCGTTGTTAATGTGACAATGTGAAAGTAAATAATTGCAAGCATACGTATACAGGCGGTGCGTCGATGTTAGTTATCAAGCGGAGACGAGAGCTCTCTAGCCTCTGACACGTACAAATGATTGTAATTCGTTACACGAATCTTTTCGGGCGTTGTGGAACGGTGCTTTATCATACGATTCTGTGGAACGTTGATATCTTACGATTATGAGCGTGTTATGTTCCGGACCACGTTGGCGGTCAACTGTCAACTGTCAGTTGCAAGTCGTGTAGAGATACGGGATCGTTTTTCATGTTTTTAATGTTGTAAGTGAATAAAACACGGAGCACCGAATTAGAATTGTCAGGGTACGGGTTCGCACACGGAAAACGTTGCTATCATGCGGTCGAATATTAAACGTTTGTTTTATGATGTTTATCATCGAATGACGGAATTCGATGGCACGTACATTCCAGTTTCGAAATCGTTGGCTCGTTGGCTTTTGCGCGGGGCGTTCCTTCGTTCGTGATGGCATCAGGATGAAATAATGTTAATTGAATTGTTCATCATTAGTATGCACGGTTTTCTTTGAGTGTTCTAATTGACTACTTATTACTGTCCTATGACAGTTGTTTCATGTATCTGCCATGGAGATTAATTGTATTTCTTTAATTTAGACGATTGAAAAAATGCTATGGCGTCCTCAGGATCGCATAATGGGGATGCTGAGACAGAAAGTGATAAGTTTGAAGGCTCAAAGGTTGATCGACATGGTTTTCTTCAGGATTCCAACTGCAGCACAGACAGGTAACATTTTCAAAAAATTAGACTTTGCTTAGTCTCCAAAATAAATTTTTTGTGCATAATACTTGTGGATTATTGATAAATTATATTAATATTATTATACATATTTTGTATTCGAGCTATTTCTTGTATTGGCAACAATTTTAAGATGCCCACGGATCATCTATTAATGCAATATTAGTAGGTACATGTTAATGAAATTAATGTTTGTGTAAAATATTAGCCTTGGAAAACAAGGAATACCACCAGAGGTAATGTTAAGGAGGGAAAGGAAATGGATACAGATGTTAAACAATTGGAGTTACTTCATGAACACAAATTACCGCAAAGTCAGGGAAAGATGCAGAAAGGGTATACCGCCATCAGTAAGACTTCGTGCCTGGTTAAATCTGTGCGGCGGTCAGTTGTTGATGGATACAAATCCAAATTTATTCGAAGAGCTAGTGGAACGATCCGGTGATCCGAAATATATAGATGACATTAAAAAGGATCTCCATAGACAATTTCCCCATCATGTAATGTTTATCAGTGAAGCTCACGGACAGGAAGAATTATTCAAAGTACTGAAAGCGTATTCCATTTTAAATAGTAAAGTTGGTTATTGTCAAGCTCAAGCACCTATTGCTGCATTTTTGTTGATGCATATGCCAGCAGTACAAGCGTTTTGGTGCCTAGTTGCAATATGTGACAAATATCTTATCGGGTATTATAGTCAGGGGATGGAAACGTTACTGCGTGATGGAGATATACTGTTTGCTCTTTTGAAGAGAGTATCTCCTATTGCTTATAAACACTTGGTTTGTATAGGTCTCTTTTAAAAAATTTCATTCAATTGTTCTACGATTAGACGCGACACGATACGCAACAAATACACATGCTCATATATCTTTATCTTTCTAGAAAAAACAAAAGATGGATCCAATTTTGTATATGACCGAATGGTTCTTATGTGTTTATACGCGAACACTGCCATGGGAAAGTATTTTACGAGTATGGGATATGTTTCTCTGTGAAGGGGTTAAAGTTATATTTAAAGTAGGATTAGTATTGTTAAAAGGCAGCTTGGGTCGTGCATCATTAGTTAAGCGTTGTCCAACAGTCTATGAAACACTTCAAGTATTAAGAAATCCTCCTCAGCAAATTATGGAAGAGGAAGCTTTGGTCTATCAGGTAGATTGTTTTCTAGATGCGATTAGAACGAAGTTCCGAACAGCTTCCGGTTTCTGATACAGCTGTTTAGGAACATGATCCAGCGACAATACGATTTAATTATTTTTTTATCTTTTCGTACCATTTTAATAAGTAGATCCGGAAATTAACTTTAACCGAAGAAGATTTCGAATACGAGCATCAACGTCAGGTATTAAAACGGAAAGCAGCAGAACAAGCGCCTTCCGCCGCTAATCGGACAGACTGATTATAAGAAGAGATGAAAATAGTATGTAAAACGAGTAACGTGTAATGAGCTTACAGGTATTACTCCAAAGTGTGCCTTCCTTTATATTCTTAATACTGTACAGATCCATATACTTTATGTAGTCTTAATTTTTCAAAGCATAAATCTACACATAGCAAAGTTTAAAAGAGTACCTAACTTCTTTATTACAAATTTAAACATAACTCTTGGATATACATTCCCCAGACAGATCAAATATATATAAACTTATCCCTATTTTCTTTATCATAATATAGTTACAAAGATGCACAATATTTGTAGATGTTTATAGTAACGTTTAATGTTGTATTATTTCGAGCATATCTCTAGTTATTAATTTTCATACGATTTATTGATATTTATGTACAA